TATGATAGTCCCTAAAGTTAACCTGGCAGGAAATTCAACAGCTACTATTATATGAATGTTCATCTATCTGCTTGGTTAACTTATTGCAAAATAAAACCGATTCCGTTTCAAGAACAGCCTCCACAAGAATGTCACGCATAGTTTTGCATGTGAACAGCGCAGACATACACATCACTCAGTACATTTGCTCATGCTTAGATAAAGTTTGTATGGCAGGAATTCTCAGCCTTTTAAACATGCCAATCGTCTTCTCTTCAAGATGCATATTGTGTGCAGTTGTGATAGAAAACAACAAAATGATTTAGGATTTAATAATTTGGTTTTGTCTTTGAGGTACTAAAAGGATACATATTGTAAATTATCACAATATCTTATTAATTCTGGTTGGTCCCACTGAACTTCCATTTCAGGTAAAATCCACCTTTGGCTCCATATTAATAGCAATCATAGGTAAGGATATATTTATTTATAATTAATGTAGGTCAAACCAAATTATTCCTTAATGCATCTTTCATACGCAGGTATCACAATCTATGAACCCTTTCTCCAAGTTACTTTAGTCCTCCTTGTACACCATCCAAACAATTCGAACAGATATGCCTCAGTTTTATTCCCCTGGTTTTGCTCCTTTGTCACCACTGTTGCCTGACCCTGAATTCACATTAGTGGAATAAAAGAATCCTCATTAATCTGGGATGCACTGGACACCACTTATTGCACAAATAAATTATGTGAATGTCACACATTTCATGTTTCACAAATTCATTTTATTTAAGTCATTCTGCTGCATAAATTCGGCTGAAGAGTAAAAGCAGAAAAAAAGTGCTGTCAAAATTAAGTATTTGGTCGCAGTCTTTTCTTTTCTGTTCTTTTGTGGTGTGGCACAAGTTTATCTCTCGTCCCACTGGGATACTTGTATAGAGTACATCATTTATAAAGTCATTCTAGGCATACATTGCAGCAGTCAAGTTTAATAAGGAAGCACTTTACTGTACAATATTATGCTTTCAAATCTAAACTGGGACTCTGCAGTTTTTTTAAAAAAGGGGGTTCTGATAAAATGGGAGCAACCATTTGTGTATTTATAATAACAACAACAACAAGATTCTATTTATAGAGCGCCTTTCACGTCGGGAGGACGTCCCAAGGCGCTGTACAGTTGGGTCAGGACTCGAGCAGGGGGGAAATGGTCAGGGTGAGGGGAGGGAAGGGAGGGAGCGAGGAGGGGGTAGAGAGTCGAGAGGGGAGCTGAAGGCACGGTCAAAGAGAAAGGCCTTGAAGGAGGAAAGGGAGGAGGCAAGGCAAAGGCACTGGGGGATAGAGTTCCAGAGCCTAGGGGCCGAGAGGCTGAAGGCCCGGCCACCGATGGTAGGGCGGTTGGGGCGGGGGATGTGGAGCAGACCGGAGCCAGAGGAACGGAGGGTACGGGCAGGTAAGTAGGGGGATAGTAGGTCAGAGAGGTAGGAGGGAGCAAGGCCGTGAATGGCCTTGTAGGTGAGGATGAGGATCTTGAATTCGATCCTCTGGGGGATGGGGAGCCAGTGGAGGCGAGCGAGGGTGGGAGTGATGTGGTCCCGAAGCCTGGTGCGGGACAGTACACGAGCTGCAGAGTTCTGAATGACCTGCAGCTTGTGGAGGGAGGTGCCGGGAAGGCCGGCGAGGAGAGAGTTCCCATAGTCCAGCTTTGAGGTGATAAAGGCGTGGACCAGAGTTTCAGCAGCGTGAGGGGTGAGGTAGTGCCGTAGTCTGGCGATATTCCGGAGGTGATGGAAGGCGGTGCCAGTTGTGGCGCGGATATGAGGGAGAAAGGACAGCTCAGGGTCGAACAGAACAGAGGTTCCTGACTGGCTTTGAGAGGTGGAGAGTGCAGCCTTGGATGCTGATGCTGTCAGCGCCTGAGGTGCGGAGGCGCTGACGTGAGCCAATCAGGAGGGCCTCAGTTTTACGCACGTTGAGCTGAAGAAAGTTGTCTCTCGTCCAGGACTCGATGTCGGACAGGCAGCTGTCAGGACATCGGTGGTCGTGGAGTTGAGGGTAGAGGAGGAAAGGTAGAGTTGGGTGTCATCCGCATACATGTGGAAGTTAACCCCATGTCTGCGGATGATGTCACCAAGGGGGAGCATATAGAGGGTGAAGAGGAGGGGACCGAGGACAGAGCCCTGAGGGACACCAACGAGACAGTGTGGGGGCCGGAGGAAAAACTGTTCGTGGAAACAAAGTGAAGACGGTGGGAGAGGTACGACCTGAACCACTCAAGGACAGGGCCTTGAAGGTTGAGGTGGGAGGACAAGCGGTGGAGGAGGATAGCATGGTCGACCGTATCGAATGCTGCCGATAGGTCGAGGAGGACGAGGAGGCAGAGGGAGCCCTGGTCGCAGATGGTCAGGATGTCATTGGTGACCTTGACCAGGGCAGTTTCTGTGCTATGGGCAGCACGGAAACCCGACTGAAGGGGTTCGAATAATGAATGGATGGAGAGGAAAGAGCGCAGCTGGGAGGCGACAACTCGTTCAAGGACCTTGGACAGGAAGGGGAGGTTGGAGATGGGCCGGTAGCTTGATAGCTGCGACGCATCAAGGGAGGGTTTTTTCAAGGTGGGAGTGATGGTGGCAGTTTTTAAGGGAATGGGAACAGATCCAGAGGAGAGGGACAGGTTGACGATGTCTGTGATATGTGGGGCAAGGAGGTGGAGCTGGGAGATAAGGTTTGGAGTGGGGATGGGGTCAAGGGAGCAGGTGGTAGGTTTCAGGGATAGGATGAGTTTGGTGACAGAGGGTGGGGAAACGGGTACGAAAGTGTGTAGGGGAGGATGGGTAGGAGTCGGAGTGTGGGAGGGAGGGGGTGGGGGGTGGGTGGATGTTGGAGGGGAAGTGACCGCGGAGCGGATTCCCTTGATTTTGGATTCAAGGAAATCCAGCATCTCCTCACAGTGAAGGTTGGAGGAGATGACCTGCGCGGGGTGGCGAGGGGGACGGAGGAGTCAGGATGTGGTAGAAAACAGTAGCCTGGGGTTGTTCTTCGCCTCCAGGATTATCCTGGAGTAGAAGGACGACTTGGCTTCATAATAATGGTCATTATAATAATAATAATAATAATAATAAACATATGCAAACATGTGACAATGTAATGACCATCTTCAAAAGATAGATTACCATATATATATATTATATATGCAAACAAGAAAAATAACCAGGTATACTCTTCCCATAGATAGCGCTGAAGAAACCAAAGTGATGAGAAACCTCTTTGTGTAATCACATCATTTTTACTGGCCTTTCTCAAAATACGCATTTTAAAAAATAATTTAGCCTCAAACCAACGAGGGACTTCATAAACTAGTAAACCAGCAGACCATCTGTTATTTTATGCATCGTACATGGTTTGCTGTGTTTTTTTAAAACTTTCTTTCTGAACAGATGGCAATGAGCATCATAACCAAGAACATTTTGTTACATGTTAAAAATAAACCCGGCTTGTAGAATCAAAATTTACATTTTAGCCTCTTCCTCCTTCCCCTAAACCATCAATGTGCATTATCATCACGCAGCTTCATTCAGTAGGGAAAGGAGGAATACAAGGCAACAACTCCAGGTGAGGATGTGCTTGTACTGAAAGAGTCAGTGGGTAACACAAACTGTAACACAAACTCACAATTTATTATGCTAAGGTGCTGCATTATGGAATAATAATAATCAATAATGGTTGCATTTGATATTCCGCCTTATTATGTTGTTGAGATGTCTCAAAGCACTTCACAGGATATATTGTGAAGTGGATTGACTATATTTTGTGGGCAAAACGCAGCTATCAGTTGTGCACAGCAATGTCTCACAAGTAGCAATGAAACTAATGACCAATTTTATTTGGGGGAATGTTGGCCGAGACCCTGGGAGAAAGACACATAATCCCATCCTCACTAAGATCCACTGTCTTCCAATTCCTCAGAAGATCAATTTTAAGATCCTTATCCTGGTTTCAAATCTCTCCATAACCTCCCTCCTATCTATGTAATTTCTAAGTGGTATCATTGGTTTCCAAAGGAAACTATCAATTTAGGAACAGTACTTAAGCTAATAAACCTCTTTCATTCCAATTGCATGATGGAAGAAATAGGAAGTTGTGATAAATCTTCCTAGCAGAATGGCTTGACACAAAGCAAACAACAATCTTAGGCAAAAGGATGCACCTTAATATTTGCGTCTGTGAAAGAACGAAAATAGATCGATCACTAATGCATGTAGTTTAATAAACCTTTAAGTGAGATGAGAATTAAGATGCTATTCTCAATAGGTGCCCATCATGCTCCAATAACTAACAAAAACTCTTAGAACAAGAAATATTCTGTAGCTGGTCTATAGCAGACATGCATTCTCCACAGTCAGAATTAAGTAATATTCAAACTTCTTAATATGTTCAGAGATATTTAAGGACAAATTTCATTTTAGAGTAAGGAGAAAGAAATGCGAGAGAATTTTAAAGGGTTAAAATATATTTACCGTAAATATAAAAGATATATAAAACATTCCACCCAGTTTTAGTTTGTAAGATCACTGTCTTAAAATTTAAAGTGGGACAGAATTGTTGGAAAATTCTTATAGCCACTCTTTATTTGGAAGACAATTCTTTCAAGAACTGCAGAAAACTGACTTCCAAATTAGGTTTGAGATTAAGTATTTTCTATAATTCTGTAGAATCTTAAATTGCAGGCTAAGACTGGGTGGAACTGCAGGCCGAAACTGGGTGAAATTACAGGCCACATACATTTAAAAATGAATTTAAAATGTCAATAAATAGCCTATATTTTTAAAACATTTAACTTTAAAAGGCACTTCATCACCTTTCTAAAGTACAGTAGTTAGTAAATTCAACACAGCAAAACTGATCACTCTCTACAAATTCCATGAAATAATGATTGAGATGAAAAGACATACACAGTTAACATGCCGCACCATGGACATCATCAAGTTCTGATACTCAGAGCATCATTCTTGTTTACATACCTCTTGTAGAGAACGGGCTGCAGGCTTGTCTTGATGGTTGGCTAATATTAAAAATGGCAAAGTGCGCAGCTGTGGATGCTGAAGGGCCGAATGGAGCTCATTCCGTGCAGTTTCTAGATCATCTTCAGATGACGCACTGTCCAGTACAAATATCACACCTTGAGATCCTTGGTAGTATCGACTCCAGTACTTTCGAATATTGTCTGCACCTAAAGAAAGTTGAAAAAGGAAAATGTTTGTTTTAAAATCAGTGGCTAATTTTATCTCTTAAATTCATTACTTTTTAAAAATACAGTGCCTAAAGTATGCATGAAAATTTGTTAAAAAAACATTGCTCAAAGATTTATGTATGAAAATGTCCATTTTTTAATAACAAACACAGTGGCAAGTAGAGGTTCTGTACCACAAGATAGAGAGATGTTTTGTGTCCCTCGTAGAACAGATGAAGCAGTTATCTTGTCAGATTAACATAAGAGATCAAATTCATAACCTTGAGGTAAAAGGAAGAAAAGACTGATCCCGTTTTTATGTAGACCAATCCAATTCCAAAACATTGCGCATCTTAATATATTAGTTTAAGTCCAACCAAAGACAACAAATGACATGATTCGGTCTATGTTTGTAGACCAACATAGTCGTACTCACTCTTCTACCAATTTCTCATTTTAAAAAAGTAACTTTATTACAGATTGTTTAAATATTCTTTCCTATGATTTTACATAATTGTATTTAATACCTTCTTTAAGCTACTGCATATAGATATCTAACTTTCACTACAAATTTGATATACAGTTCACTACTCTAAAATATTCTATTAATCATTACCTAAAAATCCAAGCACTGCTCACAAAATACTGTACCTCCCTGGCTGTTTATAGACACTGAGGTTTATTAAAGGTTAAGAGGCAATGGCAATTAAGGATTTGCAGACAATGGAAGTAATTTGGGTTTATTGAGGGTTATTCGGACCTGATTACCACAAGTGGCCAATTTATTGTCATGCCCTTATTTTTGTGAACCCATTCTCAGCATGTTAAAAGATTTGCTACTAAACGGAGAATTACCCATCTTTTGGCAAAAACATCATAAGAAAATACATACCGACACACAGAAGTATAAGTAAAGTAACAACAAATTACATTTGTATAGCGTCTTTTAAGTAGGGAGGATGTCTTAAAATAAAGTAATTGAAGTAATAGTCTTAATTATAAGATAGTCTTTAGTAACATTTTAGTATCATCCTATGTAATTCTAGTTAAAAATATAATTACAACTACTTTAAAGTTTACAAGACTAAGTAGATATTTTGTTCCAGTATTATGAATTCATAGGAACATAGGAGAAGAGGTAGCCATTCATAACCATTGAGCCAGTTCCACCAGTTAATTTGATCTTGGCAAACCTTTTAATCTCTATGCTCCGCCTTTTCATCATATACTTAAAACCTCTACTAACCAAGTACTGTAACCATCTATTGCTCTTTTAAACATCCATATTCATTCTGTCTAATTGGTCACTCAATCAATGACTGTTTGTGGGACATGGCTGTGCGCAATTGGCTGCCGTGTTTCATCCACAAAATATATACAGTCAATTTACTTTACAGTATATTCTGTGAGGCGCTTTGAGAAGTCTTTGTAGATGTGATGATGCACTATATCAAAATGCAAGAACTATTATATTATATTGTGTGAAGAAATGGTTCCTGACCTCATTTCTAATCATCTTGCTTTAGATTTTAGGCTTTCTTTGTACATGTTGCTAAATATCAACCTGAGCTCCATCAGCAATGAAAGTTCTTTTTCTTCCTCGGATGAGGAAGCCGTGATTACGGTGACGAAACCTGCCTTGGAGTCTGGATACGACTCCAACTGTACAGGACGCAAATAGAACACTTCTTTGGAGTGAAGAAAAGCCCAGTTGGTAGAAAACTGCGTCGTTAAAATTCAGCCCAGGGTCAAGTAGAATGTCAAGGTTGCAGACCATTGGTTCAACCAGAGTAATCAATCAGGTTTTATATATTTCTTTTCACATACAATAACATCTCAAACCACTTGACAATTGTTGCAGTAACTCTGAGCATGGAAATAAGAAGATTTGACAATGTTGACCAAAAAGTATTGTTAAGAGATAGATTTTTTAAAAAAAGGTTTTTAGATGACAAGAAGGGAGTCAGCTAGGCAAAATAATTCCGGAAGAAATTTAGAAGACATAGCCACTGCAGCTGAGAGGCTTTGCCACTGATAATGGAGTAATGGGAATGAGCAATAAACCAAAGTCAGAACAGCGGAGGATATGGCTGGAATGTAGCGCTGCAGAAACCTGCATATGCAGATTAGACCACAGAGAGGATATTGAAATTTGATTCCCTGAGGTAATGGGAAGCAATATAGCTTGGTAAGGAGGGAGTTCATTGATTGCAATCGTTGTGTGGAGCCTTGTACAGGGCAACAACAATAACTTGCACTTATATGGCACCATCCATGCAGGATAATGTCTCAGAGTGCTTAACAGTGGTGGAGCCTGACTCCGAGCCGGGGGGAGGTGGCCGTAAGAACTGTCAAACAGGAAAGTTTTTAGGCGGGACTTGAAAGAGGGGAGAGAGGAGGCAAGGCAGAGGGATTGAGGGAGAGTGTTACAGGTTTTGGGGCGCAGTGGCTGAAAGCACAACCTCTGATGGTGGGGTGGAGGGTGCGAGGGACGAGTAGGAGGCCGGTGCCAGTCGAGTGGAGGCGCCGGGTGGTGGATTAGGGAGTGAGGAGGTCGGAGAGGTAGGGAGGTGCCAGGGATGAAGGGATTTGAACACGAGTGTGAGGATCTTGAAGTCGATCCGTTCGGTGATGGGGAGCCAGTGGAGCCTGGCCAGAACTGATGAGATGTGGGTACGGAGTTTGGTCCGGGTCAGTATTCGGGTGGCAGAGTTTGAATGAGCTGGATCTTGTGAATGGTGGAGCTGGGAAGACCGACGAGGAGTGCGTTGGAGTAGTCCAGGTGGGAGGTGACAAGTGCACGCTCGAGGATTTCGGTTGCATTTAGGGTAAGGTATGGTCAGAGGGGGGCAATGTGGCGTTGGTGGAAGAAGGTGGTCCTGGTCAGGGACCGGATGTGGGGAAGGAAGGACAGTTAGGGTCGAACTGGATGCCTAGATTCCACACTGGTTTGGTGAGTCTGAGGGAGAGCCCAGGGAGGTTGAGGAGTTTAAATCCGCAAAGAGCGAAGACGTTGATGGAAGCCAAAGAGTATGGCTTCCGTCTTGTCCACATTCAGCTACAGGAAGTTTGCACTTATCCAGGCCCTGATGTCTGCCAGACAAGCTGATAGAACAACGGTGGACCTGGAGTTGGTATGGAGAAGGCAAAGTAGATTTGTGTGTCATTCGCAAACATGTGGAAGTTTACCCCATGTCTGCGGATGACATCACCCAGAGAGAGCATATAGATAAGGAAAAGAAGAGGCCAAGGATGGAGCCCTGATGTACCCTGCAGGTGACCGGGTGGGGGCGGGAGGAGAAACCATTTGCTGAGATGAAATGGAGGCAGTTGGTTAAGTAGGACTTGAACCATGCGAGTGCAGTCCCACTAAGGTAGATGAGGGAAGAGAGCCAATGGAGGAGGATGGGTGGTCGACTGTGTCGAACGCAACAGAAAGATCCAGGAGGACGAGGAGGCAGAGGGAGCCCTGATCACAGATAGAGAGAATGTCATTTGTGACTTTGACAAGCGCTGTCTCTGTGCTGTGGGCAGGGCGAAAACCAGACTGCAGGGGCTTAAGGAGGGAGTGGAGGGAGAGGTATGACCGAAGTTGACCTGCAACAATGCGTTCCAGGACTTTGGCAAGAAAGAGTAGGTTGGAGATGGGATGGTAGTGTGCACGCAGATCTCAAATGACAGAATCTATATCAACTGAAGCTTGCGGCGCTGGGGAGGAGTGTACAGGAGAAATCTAACCTCAAAGTAATGAAAGGATGGATAAGGATTTTCTCCCTTCAGTGAGGATTAGGTAAGGTGTTCAGCAGGATACGTTCCAGAGGTGGAAAAATATATTCGTGGCAATATGTGGTTTGAACCTCAGCTCAGGTCAAATAGAATGTCAAGATTTAGACCACTGGTACATCCAGATAAATCAATGAAAGGGCACTTTAGGTGCTTGTGAGAACAAACAAGATGGCTTCAATATTGTTGATGCTTAGCTGCAAAAAGTTCCATCTTGGGACTGTTTATCAGACACTCAGTCACTCAGAACGCACCAGTTCTGAAGTCCAAGGTAGTGGCAATGAGGCAGATTTGGGTCATGAGCATACATATGGAAGCTAACACCATACTTATGCAAAATTCTGCGAAATTATTATCAACAAATAATTGAGGATTAGGAGATAACCAAGGAGAGAGCCCTGAGATCCATTGGACAGGTATTAATAATCCTTGCATTTGATGTGGCGTCTTATCACATCGTTCAGATATTTGAAAGTGCTTCACAGGAGTTATTGTGCAGTGTGATGACTGTGTATTTGTAGGTAGAAATTCAACTAAGAAAGCATGAACAGAGAGAAAAAGAGAACATTTGTGGAAAATATCAGTATTTTTGCCAAGAAAAATTAGAAATCCAATAAAATATTCATGAAACTGAGCTGAAAAGTCTTCAAGCGTAGAATGTTTACATACACAAGATCCAATGCACTGATATTATTGTGTGTACTAGTTACCAAAAGGGACCCAGAGAAAGTTTGGAAAGACCTCAATTATATTTTTTTACTGAGATGACATCACTTCTTGCAGACACAGTTATGAGAAAGCAGATGGTTCAGATGCGTAATGAATCCAATTTCAAAAAGTACACCAGCATTTGATATACGGAATATCACTGATGTTTGACAAAAGGCTTTGGGATCTATAAGGTAACAGATTATAATAGCAACCCTTGCATTATTGCTCAGATGTAGATGTCATAATTCCATTCCTCACAACCTACATTTTTAGAGCAAAGACACAAATTTATACCTCGATTTGATTCATTTCACTACTTAAAACTTGATACAAATCCAGCTTAGAAAGAATAGACTTATCCTTTAATGGTTATTAAACATCCTTAAGATTTTATTGCAATCCAGAATCTAGTGAACTTGAGACCACTGCTTCGGCATTAATTTTAAAATACGGTTTCGAGAAAATAGTGACAGAATGTGAAAGAGAAACAAATACTGCTTTAATACTGCAGAGCTCGAAATGTCCCTCTAATGTTGAATTTAAAAACTGATGGGAGGAGATGGCTGAAGTTACACATTTCAAACTCACTTCAATTTTAATGCAAAGCATGGAGCTCTACTTTATCAAGCTTGGACCACTGGAGAAATAGCAGAGAAAGTCATGGTAGTGTGGCTGTCAAATTGCTCCCTCCCCAAATTTCTGTGGAGCTGCTTCAAACATGCTTCAATGGAGCAGGATGGGAGGGAGAGAGCCCCAACTCCAGGACCTTAGTATAGGTAAAAAGCTTTTATTGTTTGAAATCTTTGTCAAGGCAAAGGCAAAGAATTCCCAGAGATTACATAAACAACAACAAAATGACATTTATAGAGCGCCTTCCACATTGGGCGGACGTCCCAAAGCGCTGAACAGTCAGGTGTCGGGGCCCGAGCCTGCGGGAGGGGTAGTGTAGGGGTGAGGGAAGGCAGAGAGGTGGGAGGGAGACCAAAGGCACGGTCGAAGAGAAGGGTCTTGAGACCGGCCTTGAAGGAGGCAAGGGAGGAAGCGAGGCGAAGGGACCGTGGGAATGAGTTCCAGAGTGTGGGGGCAGAGAGACTGAAAGCCTGGCTGCCAATGGTAGGGCGGGTCGGGTGGGAGACATGGAGCAGGCCGGAGCCCGCTGAATGGAGGGAGCGGGCAGGTTGGTAGGGAGTCAGCAGGTCATAGAGGTAGGAGGGGGCATGGCCATGGATGGCCTTAAAGGTGAGGAGGAGGATCTTGAACTTGATCCTCTGGGGGTTGGGGAGCCAGTGGAGTTGGGCGAGGGTGGGAGTGATGGGATTACTGAGCCTGGTGCGTGAGAGTACACGAGCTGCAGAGTTTTGGATGATCTGCAGCTTGTGAAGGGAAGAGCTGGGAAAGGCCGATGAGGAGGGAGTTCCCGTAATCAAGCCTTGAGGTGACGAATGCGTGGGTAAGGATTTCGGCAGCCTGAGGGGTGAGGCAGTGGCTGAGTCTGGCAATAGTGTGGAGGTGGTGGTAGGCAGTGCCGGGCATGGCGCGGATGTGGGGGAGAAAGGACAGTTCAGGGTCAAACAAGATGCCCAGGTTCCTGACTGGCTTAGTGAGGTTGAGTGTGCAGCCGTGGAGGCTGATACTGCCCAGGTTGGACCTCGTCCAGGACTTGATGTCGGACAGGCAGTCGGTCAGGACCCCGATAGTCAAGGAGTTCAGGGTGGAGAGAGAGCATGGAGAGGGTGAAGAGGAGGGGACCGAGGACGAGCCCTGAGGAACACCGCTCAAGACAGTGCGGGGGCTGGAGGAGAAGCCGTTTGCTGTGACAAAGTGGAGGCAGTGTAAAAGGTAGGACCTGAACCAGTCAAGGACAGAACTTTGAAGGTTGAGGTGGGAGGAGAGGCGGCGGAGGAGGATTGAGTGGTCCACGGCGTCAAAGGCGGCAGAGAGGTTGAGGAGGGCAAGGAGGCAGAGGGAACCCTGGTCACACAGAGTCAGGATGTCGTTTGTGACTTTGACCAGAGCAGTTTCCGTGGTCGAGGGAAGATTTCTTCAAGGTGGGGGTGATAGTGGCTGTTTTGAGGGGGGAAAGAACAGTGCCAGATGACAGGGAGAGGTTAATGATGTCGACGAGTAGTGGGGCAAGGAGGTGGAGCTGGGATTTGTGGAGTCCTGTAGCTCAGTGGTTAGAGCACTCGCTTTGCAAGTGAGAGACCTGAGTTCAATTCCAGGCAGGGCGAAACCTTGGGCAAGTTTCCTTACTCCACACGCCTAATAATAATCCCTCCAAAACTAAAAACAATAATTAAATTGGTCATTTTCAATCTACGACTGTTTGTGGGACATTGCTGTGCGCAATTGGCTGCCGCGTTCGCCCACAAATATACAGTCAATTCACTTTACAGTGTGTTCTGTGAAGCGCTTTGGGACGTCCTCCCGACGTGAAAAGCGCTATATCAAATGCAAGGATTATTATTATTATTTATTATTTAAGGAGAGGGGTAGTGATGGGGTCAAGGGAGTAGGTGGTGGACTTCATGGAGGTTACCATGTTGAAGACAAAAGTGGAGTCCTGTAGCTCAGTGATTAGAGTACTCGCCTCACAAGAGAGAGACCTGGGTTCAATTCCAGCAGGGCTAAATTTTGGTTAAGTTTCCTTACTCCAAACTCTGTTTACTTAGCAGTAAGTAGGATCCGGATTGTTAGTCGATTGGTGGATCACTTTTCCGGGGGTAATAATTCCTTAAAAAATAATAAATGGGTCACTTCAATCCATGACTGTTTGTGGGATACTGCTGTGCACAAATGGCTGCCTCGTTTCGCCCACAAAATACACAGTTAATTAATTTTACAGTATATTCTGTGAAATGCTTTGAGACGTCTCAAAGACGTGATAAGGCGCTATATCAAATGCAAGGATTATTATTATATAGATTATATAATAATACATAATATATTATTATATGTAATTATATTATAATATATTATATAATAATAATAATCCGTGAGAGGAATTCATACAAATCCTACTCCATTTCCCCTTTCCTTGCAGGGAAGGTACCCAATCTTTATTCTATTGGTGCATCCCCAACACAAACTGCCAAATTGAGGAATTTATGTGGAATCATGTATTAAATACGTATTTCTGCGTCCTGTGGTCTTGTGCATTGCTGCTTTAATGGGTGTCCCACTGTGCTGATTCAGTTTCAATTACAGAAAACAGGGGGGAATTATCTTCACCCTATCGATCTATATGGACATCTTGCTACAAGGCTTTTTATTTAATATTTTCTACACATTACAATCAGCCTGGTGAAAACTGACCAATACAGCTCTTCCCTCATAATAGGGAGACACTTTGAACACCACGGTAACAAATGCATCAGGGATCAAGTCTATCAAGTAATTCAGAAATAGTTACTTAGAAACAATCTGGATTCAAAAGCAGGGGTGCCTGAGGCAAAAAGAGTCAACCGTTGTACTTTGCAGTGTTGTGTACTCAACAGAAACTGTAACAATTCTCATTTGAGCACCTCCAGAATTCAATGATAAAAACAATAAGATCGACTAACAATAAGGATAATAATAAGGATTATTGCACTGACAATCTCACTATAATTTTTGAAATCATAGAACTAACAGTGGGATTTTGGATAGCATGGACCTGACACCAGGAATATTTTTTCTTAGTAATATGTATGGGATAACATGAATAGCTTTGCAAGAAGCAGCACAGTGGCAAGGTGCCAACTGTTATTGTCGATGCTTTTGCTGACGCCTACCTATCAGTGACTGGGCATGGTAACCAGAAGGAAAAAGCGGCTCTTTTAACCCACATTGGGACTTTGTACTTATATGGCTGACACTCCAGGGTGTGCTGTGTTGGTTTTTTTGCTCAGCCAGCCATCCGCATGTATCAGACACCTGGTTGACGAAAAAGAAGTTATGTTCTTTGGATGAGACGTTAAACTTAGGTTCTTTCTGCCTGTTCAGTTGGACATTAAAGATCCCATGGCACAATTTGAAAAGAGAAGAGACCCACTTCCAGTGTCCTAACCAGCAAGTCCTCAAAAGTAAAATTGGTCATTCACTTCATGGCTATTTGTGGTTCATTGCTGTACAACTTAGTTGCCATGTTCACTTACAAAATGCACAGTCACTAAACTTTACGGTAAATCCTGCGAAGCACTTTGTGATGACCTTTGTGAAAGATATCTGACATGGAAGATGCTATATAAAATGCAAGGATTAATATTTAGAGGTTCAAATGGTACCATAAATCAGAAATGAACATCAGAATTGTGATGTTGTAATAGCTCTAAATATGATTTGAAACATTCCCTGTTGTTCTCTAAATCCTCTCCAATATTTCACTGTTTTTCTGAGGAGATGAGCTTGAGATGTACCAATGATAATATTCAACATCGGATGTCACTGAAACCATCCAAGCATTTGCACTGCTGGAGTAAGCATCTTACAAGCTAAGCTCCCTGTGGCATTCTGACAGTAAAAATATTGAGTCAGCAAGCAGGAGGCAATCGAAGGAAGAACGTAGATTTCCTTCAATTTCACCATACATTTAATATAGTTGATACATCCAAAGCCCAAAAAATTAAACCCCCAGCTAGAAATATTTTGGCCTATTTGATACAGTAACTTCATCCTGTAACAATACGTAATGCCAACAAAAATATTCTTAAGTAGTAGAGCTAACGCCAAAAATACTGAAGGTTTGTTTAGCCCAAGGTTGTTATGATATTCCCAACCAAGAATGCGCTTTAGAATTCCGATGAACTTACTATACATTTAACTTTTTAAGATGTAGTGTGGTTTTAATAAATATCCTTGCCTTGTACTCCCTTGATAATTGTTTTGTATTGCTTAAAACTAAGAAACGCTGTAATTGTATAATTTTGTTTTCAAGACAATGGAAATCATTCAATCCTATGTTTGCCATTCCAAACTGTCCAGAATTGAAGAGTATACAGCGGTAATGAGAACTATTTTGATTATACTTGCTGCTGTCTCATAGTTCACTTTTCAAAGAAAAACATTTTTCGATCAATAAATTACAGGTCAGCCCTTTTATTGCTCGAATTCAGTTATAACGTGGTAGCAGTGTCAACCATATTCACTGTGCATATTCAAAGCTGACCTCTTGCACGCCAGCCAACTTTTCACATTAAAATTGATGAATTCCGGGTAATTAGGTCGCTACTGATATCACTTCCTGCTGTATCCGGAAGTGACTTCAACGGTGATCAAATAACCTGCAGGTCAGACATTTTATCACAAAACCCCAACTGTGAGTGGGAAAAGAGTAAGTGTACAGTGAAACCATCTATAACTTTTTATTATAAGTTGGGTTTATACGGTTCCCAACCACCGTGTCATAACAAAGTCCACAGCAATTTTGTTCAAATGACATACCTCCAAGTTCTTTCACATTCAGGACAGCATTCGAAAATGGAATAGCTTTAATGCTGAAACCTAAAAGTGGTAAAGAGGAAAAAAAATGGGGATTTAAATTGGATGGGGGAGGAATATATTCAATACATTTGAAATTTGTTTTATATGCTTGACAGAATTTTTTTGTTAATTTTTGTGCTCGTTAAGATGAGAAATCCCAATGCCTTTTGCACCCAGTGTTTGGAACACGCCAAGTCTTAACTTCAAAAGATAACCCCTTTGTGCGCTTGGCTGAGATTTCCATTTCCCACCCCAACTATTTGTGATCGTTTTCCTGTGTGAGACTGCCAATTAGTTATAAATTGTGAGCAGTTTTGTAATAATGGACTCACAACCAATGGGAACTGGATTAAGACCACCCAAACTAATTTTAATTACAACCCTTAGTCAGCAGAAGTAAGACTTTCATCTCATCAATTTGCACCAAATTTGTACTCAAGTAGCAGAGGTGAAAGGACAATGTTCCAACCCAATGAACCAACCAATCCCCCACATTTAATTATGTTTAACGAAGCCTGAAATTGCAAGGATATTGAACCATAAAGTTATCCACATACAGGATCTAGAACAACAGCTGAAGCTGCAACTTGAAAGCGGGAACCTTGTGGCAGAAAATAAACAATATAGGATCCAAATAGAGGGAACAAAAATATGTGGAAATGGGAAAGAATATATTATACAATACAGAATCATGGATGAAGTCAATATTAAAATATGCACCCAGATTAGTCTAAAGAAAGATTTCAATGTTGTAAGGATATGGTTTGAAAATCTTGAAGTGGAACTACGTTTAACAAAGAAATACTTGGCGGAGGTGATGGATATCATTTAAACTGGCCTAAACAGATTGAAAACAGTAATATTCATTGAAAACGTTTGTGCTAAAGTCAATCACATAATTAAATGAGCCGTTGGCTCTCAAATTTGTACTCCCCTCTGTATGTTCCCCCCCACCCTCACACACACATTTTTAGTTGCACTATAAGACCTCTCTCGTTCATTGCACCTGATATCCTCCCACTTCTCACATCACTCTTACTTAGCATCCAAACCCATATTGGTAAATCCTTCTGAGACATTATCTAACATGAAAGGTGCTATATAAATGCAAGTTGTTGTCTGTCTAAAAGGCATTGGTGATTGGAGGAACAGCAAATGGATGCAAGTTAGTGTAACTGGATGTCAAGTGAATTATAGTTCAGGCTCAAATTCACTGAGTTTATAAAACACATTGAGATGAAGATTCAAATCTTTGGCAAGAAAATACTGATGTAATATTGCATTATATGATATTGTGTAGGTTTCATTCCAACCCAGACTTTCTGTCAGTTTTTAGGGCCATATATAAAATGAGTTTGAGCAGTATCATTCCAATTATTTGGGATTGTCAATCAATAGCACACAATAACTCTTTATTTGGCACAAATGGATAACCTTCCTCAGAAAGGCCGTAGCAATGGATAGAATGGCTCACTATAGAAAAAAATGAATAATACCAAACACTGACATTCATCCTCCTAATATTCAAAAAATAAAACACACATGAATATCGCTGTGAGATTCTACAAACACCACTGCATTTTACTTGTATTTTTTAAAAAATGATGAGATAATTCCTGAAACAGTGGTTACGTGACATCAAGATTGGGTTTTAAAAACCCGTAGATTGTAGGAGGATAGGCAGGGAATTAAGGAACCTCCACTGTTGTAGGCTCAAAGGGATCAAACTGATAAACTTGATGGATTGAGTGGCTTCCTCCTACGAATCTTCAATACAATAGGAATTCCCATAATGATATTCAGATGAGGCTCACTTTCCTCAATCATCTGATAGAAAACACTGATAGATTAGACTGTGGACTGGTTGTGCTCAGTTTGGATAAAATAGTATTCCAGTGTGGTTCTACAGTGCAATTTGATATTTTGTTATTTTTTCTCCTCTTCACCAATAATTTTTAATCAATGGTTTGTTTCTCTCACCCCATTCCTGAATACAATTTGGCTTGTTCCTCATACCAAACCCACTGCTTTGCTACCTTTGAACCCTCTTTTCCACAGGCATGCTTGCTGTGCCTCTCTTCCTTTGCTCACATATTGACTGTCTCACCCAATCATACACCCAACTTCTTTTACTCATTTTAGCCTATTAACCATAGTCCTTTGCCCTCAGCTTTATTATGTTGATTCGAGACATGTCCATCTTAACATTTGTTAACTTTAGACACTCTTACTCTCAGACCATCTTGCCCCAAAGTCACTTGGATTTTTCTGCCCCAGTTTGTCCCTTAATCAGGTGCATCGGTCTCTCCTTCCTTCCCTAACTTTCTTCAGGAAACATTTTCCTGCTGACCCAGCCTGACTCTCGTCTCATTTGTGAAAAAGCAGTTTGAGTGGAAAGGCTAGCTTGCCCAGCAATCACTATGTGTTTGATCCAAACTCCATCCATTGTCACGTACCCAAGAGAAATAAACAAACGTAGGAGAAATTTGAAATTGGAACCTATGAATCCATGAATATGCAGAAAAAGATTCGGGCAGCATGGTTTCCGCAGTTAACACCTTGACTGAAGTTAGCCTTTTAGGTGCCCCTAGTTTATTAGGTCATAAATACAGACCCCTCTTCAGGGCCAACTCAAATCACTCTGTATGGTCCAGACCTCAGCTGATACCTCCCATTCCACTCATTCAAATTGAAATGCCACCTCTACCACGCAAGCAACTAGCTCCAGTGTTACTTCTAAAGCAGAATCACAAGGGTGCAGCCAGACATTTTAATAATAATAATAATAATAATAATCCTTGCATTTGATATAGCGCTTTTCACGTCGGGAGGACGTCCCAAAGCGCTTCACAGAATATACTGTAAAGTGAATTGACTGTATATTTGTGGGCGAACGCGGCAGCCAATTGCGCACAGCAATGTCCCACAAACAGTCATAGATTGAAAATGACCAATTTATTATTGTTTTTTGTTTTGGAGGGATTATTATTAGGCGTGTGGAGTAAGGAAACTTGCCCGAGGTTTCGCCCTCTGCCTGGAATTGAACTCAGGTTTCTCACTTGCAAAGCGAGTGCTCTAACCACTGAGCTACAGGACTCCTGTAAGGACTCCTTAAAAAAAAATTTAAGACTTACACAAGGGTAATTCATTCAAATGTCACATTAAAACAGATGCATATGACCTTTTTTTTAGAAATAACTTAATTCGCACCTACTCTAGTGCATTGATTTCATCCATCTATATATCATTTCCTACGAAAACAGATGTAAGCACATAATTGTGGTCAGGGACTGAATACAGATTTTAATCATCCATCAACCCTTGTCAACAGTATAAACTACATGAGGATATTTATTATCGTTGGCACTAACACACAATTTTAAGAGTTGATGCAAGTTATCCAGCAAGATATTTACTATGTGACACAAGATTCCCTGAACTGGTGTTGCTCAACGATGGGGTAATTCCATTCACATCAAAGGAACCCGGATGTGAGCTTTTGTTATTCATCAACCAGCAACATCTCTTCCCCCCACACCCCGTCTCTCTATTGTTGATCAAACATTTATGTTAACTGCAACTGTTACAAACTTTCCACTTCACTGTAATTCGATGGTGGTGGGGGGGGGGGGGGTGTAATAAGCAGGACTCAGTTAGCAGGACTCCCTTTACCTTCAAACATTCTGCACTGTTACCATGATGCTGCCAGTCTTGTATGGATATTACCTGTTGTAGATACAATGTTGTCTGTGCTCTCGCAACAAAGTTGTGTAAGCAGAGTTGATTTGCCAGATCCCATAAGGCCTATACAAACGACATCATATTCAGCTCGTGGCGTAGGCGATCCCTTGCAGCAGAAAGCTCTGAAACACTATGGATAGAAGAATAATTTTAACCACTGTTCATTTGGTAAACAGGATAAATAATAGAACCTTTGTAGCCACCCTGAATCAACTGTCGTGGAGTCCCATAGCATATTGGTTAAGAGTACTCGCCTCACAAATGAGAGGGCCTGGGTTTGATTCCCGGGCAGGGTGAAACCTTAGGCAAGTTTCCTTACTCCACACACATCTGTTTACCCAGGAGTAAGTAGGAACCTGGTTATTAGTCAACTGGTGGATCTCTTTCCGGGGATAATAATCGCTTCTAAAAAAAACAATAATAACTTGGACATTCAATCCATGTCTGTTTGTGGGTCACTGCTGTGTGCAATTGGCTGCCTGATTTCACCCACAAAATATACAGTGAATTCACTTTACAGTATATTCTGTGAATCACTTTGAGACATCTCAACTATGTGATAAGGTACTATATCAAATGCAAGGAATACTATTATTATTTTAATATAACTGTTGAGTAAAGAGTTATTTTACAGTGCTGACATTTTTGCTAGGTAATTGACATTAGCTCAGTTTTCTTCAATAGTGCATTTATTACTTTGCAGAATTTGCAAAGGTAACTGAATAAAAGTCTGACACTATAGGTCATTATCATGCTAATTACAAAGCGGAATCCATGTTTCATATTCTCTGTAATGGACATTTTCTAGTTTTAGACTGAGGGAAGAAATCTACGACACAGGAGACCCATTCGACTGAATTAATGAACATTGTATTAACGTTATTGTTTGCTCCTCCACTGAAGTCACCTATCCAAATTCAATTTCCCCGCTTTTTCCCCATACCTTTGAATCTATGCTGCACCATCTCCATAGCTCTATCATCTGTTTTGTGCTAATTGCCGAGATCAAGGGCTACAAATATGGCAAGCAGATGCAAATTGTGTGCCTCCATTACGAATGGAAATGCTCTGGGGTAATTAGAGTTGGCTTTCACCAGAGAGCAGGAGATGGGTCCCAGATGATGTTAGGATTTCTCTCTATGGACAACTTGCTCTTTTTATGAAGATCGTTTTGATCTCAAGTGGTTACAGTACTTTGGGATCAAAAGACGAATCTTCTGTGAAGACTATTTTCTCCTTCAATACAAGACTAGCATTTTTCCATATTGTTGTACATGTGCTTTTCAACAATCAAACTAAATAGGGGATGTAAAATTATATTGACCGCACAAGTTGCATCTTACTCAATTTGCACATTTAAAATTGACCAGTTTTATAAGAAGGCAAGTCTCAGACTCCTAGAAATAGCTGACCATGTCACACTGCAAAAACGTAGTAGCTGGATGCATTTATGAGACATTTTTATTATTGAACTTGGAAACTGAAAGCAAATGTTGAAGAAAATAGCATTTCTGGTTTCTGACTCTGAGTAAAATAGGTAAAAATAACTAGGCAAAATTAAAAAATTCTGACCAGATGAATAGGGCATCATCCTACACACATAATCCTTAAGAACAGAGTTGATGGCGTGCATTAAATAATTTCAAATGGATGTACAGAACAGACTCCCAACATATGCTCCACACCATAAGATGTGCTGATGAACTTCTTTAAAACAAGAACTGGACACGTACCTGAAATAAGAACAGAAAATGCTGGAAGTGCACAGTGAATCAATCGGCATTCTCAAGTTCCCTCACAGACAGGCAAAACCTATCCAACTGTTGACTTGACCTTAACCACTCCTGGGATAATAGATACTTGGTTCCTCAACTCCAAAAGTAATTAAGAAACTCCAGAATATTTATTCATTTCCACGGAAAGCTGGGCTCTTTCCCCTATAAATAAGATGCCTAATTCCTCGTCTTCCTCAACCCAGCTCAGGAAGAATATAAATTATTCAAACTGGTCCATTAAATATTTGTTCATCACAGTCTACAACTATCTATAGCTTCTATTATGGTTCCCAAGTAGATATTTATCTAACTTTTTTAAAAAAAGGGTAATGAACAAGAGTCAACTGATTTTTTGTTCAGAACAGCTTTGAAGGTTATAGGGATAAATAAAGATTGAAATGATCAAAGACTTCATGACATAATCAAGTGTTTGTGGCACTGGATGTGAGATATGGTCAGAGGTGGGCAATACATGGAAGTAAATGAAAGAGGTTTTGATCAGGGACCATGTATGAGAGAGAAACGATAGCTGAGGATTGTACTCAATAACTGTATTATAATAACTGTATTATAACTGTATTATTACAGTTTAATAACTGTATTATTATTATTATTATTATTATTATTACTGGATGGCAAGGTTGAGGTTCAGTGATTGAGGAGGTCAGAGCCAGAACAAAGGAAGTATTGGCAGAAACCAAGGAGGATAGATCAGTCTTATTCATATTGAATTGTAGGAAATTTTGCCTCATCCAGGCCTTGATGTCTGACAGGCAAGTGGACAGAACATTAGTGACCCTGAAATCAAGAGTAGAAGTGGAAAAGAACTATTCCAAGAACAAAAACAAGGAGTAAATAGTAAGCAGCATTTTGAGGTCAAGTGAGAAGTGGTCTACCAATTGAATGAAGAGACACTGAGGATATGAATGAAAACAAAAACCTGAAACAATTTGGGACTGAAATACAACTTCAAAAATCCACATGCCAAATGGAATTTAATGAAGGGTCAAACCTAAGACCTTTGTCTTTCTCTTTTGCATTTGATTCAACCCACATCATTTTCTTTTCCGTTTTAAATTTCCGTTTGTTTATTTTCTCTTTTTATATCCAAATTCTGCTATGTCTGGCAAATGAACACTAAAATTCTTTTCTTAAATTACCTATGTACAAGAACAACGAATATTGTCAAAAAGAGTACTGTACGGTTGGCTTACACCCGTTGGGGATTGAGTCATGAAGGTATTTTGTTCATCTTAACATTGGTGTAGTAGGTCTGTGGAAAGCACACAGTTTCAAATCCCTGTCCTTTTTTAAATCAATTAAATGACAATTACATACCTCATTCATAGATTCAGTATGCTGGATAAAGCCTTCAGGAGAAGTGGGATGAGATGAGTTATCTATTTAAGTCTATCTAATAGTCATCTGGCCCTGATGCCTTACCTCACCTACCTAGGTAGTTCAATTGTGATTGTGACCTCAGTGTGTACTGAAGTTTTCAGTAGGTCTGTCACAAGGAAATCCTAAAGACCAGAGGTAATTTCTTTCTCTTGAAGATAATTCAGACTGATATAGTTGTGAGCAATAACTCACAAATTACTTGAACCGCATAAACTTGTATTAGTTGTCAGAAATTCATCACCACGGATGAACAAAGGAACATCAAATCGGGACCTTAACTGGAAGAGTTAAGAGGAAGGTTAAAAACATAACACATTATTGGAAGGTGGAATGTTTTGTCACAAAGGAATATTGAGGCTAAGCCTATAACATTTAAAAGAGAATTTGATTAACTTTTTACGAGGAACAATATAAATAGTATATGGATACCCAACTTTAAATTATATGATTGGTATAAATGGTATACGGAAAGAGCAGGGAATTAAGATTAGAGTATGCTCCTAGATGCTATCCTGCGTGAAGGACACTATATAAATACAAATTGTTGTTGTAGTTAGTTCCAGTGAAGTTACTGAAACAATCAAAGGCTCTATGGGCCGCCGACTATGCTGTAATTTCTATAATATTAATTAAATTGAGGGGAATTTACACATCTTATACAGCTGTTCTAAGTGAGCAACACTCTTCCTTTGTCTGAATCTATTTGAAAAGAATTACATACATATGTTATTACATTCCATCTCAGGACTGCCTTGGTAGGGTTATAGAAGACAAGTTTGAGGATTATCCTGTAAAAAAATTCATTACTCAAGTGAATGAACCAAAGATAAATTCAGATCACTCAACAGATTGACACAGTTTCTAACTTTATATTTTTTGATACTTTCCAGCCTGCGGCTTTATAGCTACTATTTATCTACTACAGAAATTTCAAGTAACATATGATCACCTGGATGCCCATACTTTAACATTACTCCAAATATAGATTTTCTCTGATTACAATAGAGCCAAATATATCTCCTCCAGTTACCTTGTCCCAAGCATCATTGATTATTTGATCAACTTGGCTATGCAGACCAGAAGTTTGCAATTTGATTGGACAAGAATGTGTATACTCAAACACAATCAAAATCAAATTTGTTTACATTTTTGGGGGCTATTTTCTAAAAGATTATTTTTTAAATTTAAGTGACATGGGTAATGCTTACTTGATGAACTCTTACTTTTGCAGTCCTTCCTCATAAAGTAAACATATAAAATACTTCTCCAGATCAGGAAATCCAATTATCCAAACATTCTGCATTTCAAAGCAGTTCAGATTATAATTTGATAATAATAATAATAATCCTTGCATTTGATATAGCGCTTTTCACGTTTTCTAGATGTCTCAAAGCGCTTCACAGAATAGACTGCAAAGTGAATTGACTGTATATTTGTGGGTGAAACGCGGCAGCCAATTGCGCACAGCAAATAGCAGTTCTTGCGCAAAAAAATAATCCCTGCATTTGACACAACGCCTCTCACGTCCGGAGACAGTCTCAGAGCATTTTGCAGGATATACAGCACTGGAGATTGTAGGCAAATGCTACAGCCAATTTGCACAGCAATGTCCCACAAATAGCCATGAAGTGAATGACCAATTTTCTTTGGGGGATTGTTGGCCAGGACACCGGGAAAAACTCCTTTCTCTTTTTGAATAATGTCACAGGGACTTTAACAGGCAGACAGGACCTCGGTTTAACCTCTCATCCGAAGAACGGCACATTCAACAATGCATCACACTTCAACAAAGCAGTGGAGTGTCAGCCTAGGCTGTACGAGTTTGAAGTCCCAACATGGGGCTTGTATCCACAATCTTCTGACTCAAGAGGTGAGAATGCAACCAACTAAGCCAGGCTGGCACGTGCGTGTGTGTGTGCGCATCACATATATATATATTAATGCGCATCCCATA